TGTAAGGTTGTGTTTGTTTTGGTTTTTGTTTCTTTTTCCTGGAGCTATGTTAACGTTAACCTAAATATTGTGGTGAAAAGGGACAATAAAAGCTTCTACAGTCTGCCCTTCCTTTCTGCCCACAGGCTCGACACATACATTTTTATCCTTCTCACATCCAAGAAGTTCTAACTCTTTCCTGCATCTCCTCTTTAATAAAAAGTTCTGGTTCAGAAGGAAATGTGACAAACCCAACTGTTAATTTGACACTGGCACAGCTCAAATTTTGTTTTTACTGTCCCTGTCAACAGTCAAGCACTCAGACCATATTCTCATTTTTATCATCTTGCATTAAATCTTTTAACTTCATACAGAAACTTAAAAATTCTGCCATAGGCCAGTGACCACTATGCTCATAAAAAGTATATCCAGTATTAAAAATAACAATTCCAGAGGCTACTCAAAGATTTCACTAACTAGTTCCATTCAAGTGCATTTTCCATGAATCAGAAAAGCTTGGATTTTCTCTGTGCTGGGATTCAAATTAGAAACTTAGCAGGAAGTAAGTAGAAAAAGAGTGCTCATATATTTATGCTTCAGAATCTTGGGTCTTTAGGGTCAGCAACTGTCTCAAAGTTACTACTGAAATTAAAGACTGTCTTCTCTTCCTGATTATCAGTGACAAGCATCTATTTTCTCTCTTTTTTTTTAATAGGTAACAATAGGAAAAGTACAGCAGTATAGCTAGTACTACAGCACGTCCTGCCACGTTTCAACATGATAATAAAAAGATGCCACAAACTAACAACTGAGATAATCTCAGGAAATGTCAGCTTCTTTTTTGGTTGTATGGTTAGGGTATCAAGACTCTGATGAAGACTGAGGGCTTCCTTCATCCTTAATCCACACATGAGGAATGAGGGGCAGAGGAACCATCCTTCTTGGCACAAAGGTGATTTAATAATCTCCCCTTTGTACGTGGATTACAGGTCATCTGACAATACTGGAAAGTCTGACACTGCAAACTGCAGTAGACAATCCCTGCTGTGATTCAAATATCTATTTGTGGTCAAACTTAACTCTAGTGCTAATTAAGGAGTAAATGTAACATAAACAAGAAATAGCAGTGCTATACTGAGCATGAGGCAAAAATATCTGCTATAACCACATATCATTCACATTTTTTTTTTGCTCATGTCCATGTCATGCTCTTTTCACTGCAGGCAAAGATCAGCAAGTACAATATGTCAACATCTCAGAGAAACAGGTACAGTAGTGAATCACACATCACAGAATAAGCGAAATACCAAAATTCAGATTAGAACTCTGTTTTTTTGGAAGATGCTAAAAATTTTGCATGAGTAATAATTGCAAAAAACATGCACATAATAATAATAATCTGAACACTTCCTTTTTATGATTGAGTTTATTTTCATATTAATACTTCCAGTCCAGGTTATCTACCATTCCTATGACAGGACAAGAAAAGGCTTTGAATAAAACTGCATATAGTAAAAAAAAAAAGGAGGGGGGGAACAAGAAGTGCAATAGCAACGAAGAGAAAGCTAGATGGTGCTAATATACTGACTTCATGGTTTCAACTTACTGTGCACAAACTTGGCAAGACAGATCAAACATTAGAAACAGATATAGAAAGTGCAAACATGCTATAGTTCGATAAAAGTCTCCTTATCTTAAAATTTGATTCATGCTGTTCATAACAAGTGAAAAATATCAACTGATATTTCTCCGTGTCCCCTCTCGTTTTCTGATCAAAAAAACGAAAATAAGGTTATACTCTCTATTGATGAAAAAGATATTTTCAGTAATAATTGAAAACTAATGTAAAAATTTGTGTCTAATACAAAATTATAATAATTGAACATATCTATGGAGTGTATTCCATATCATAAAAGCTGTGGGAGCGGATTTTCAAAGATGCTGTATACATATACTTCCCTTTGAAGCACTGCTTCTAAGAAAATTTTTACTTGATGTTTTAGCTTGTCTGAAAGTTGTTTTCTGTTTGAACATTTTAGTGTGGGTGAGACTCTAGCTATAACAAATTGTGTAGAATTGCTCTGAAATACCCATTTCCACCCAGAGGAAGGTCTGAAGCCGTGTCTAGATACCCTATATTCAACACAAAAGTCTCTGTATGAAAGAGCACACACTGTGCTTGCTGAGAGAAGTGTGATTGCATTCTTAACACCTAACTTTGTAAGAGTAACTCAGACCTGAAATAGATTCATCTCTCCAGTCACCTTGCACACTTCTCTGAACATAATGATACTGGAAACAGACCTCATCTTCAGATCAGCCTTCAAATGACATGGCTCCATATTACAAAGCCAATTCTATTCCTCCTCCTGCCTTTCTTTGCCACGTGGCCATGGATCAGCAGCACTGAAGAACTAGCAACATCATTGTTCTGCCTAACTTCTGTGTCCATGAGACTCCTCTTACCTGACTTAAACGCTTGTTAGAAACTATGACAACCATTCATCCAGGTGATAGACACACACCACAATCCACAGAGAAACTAGTGGACCCTAGTTCTATTGTCAGCTCTGACACTGAACTGTGTGTGTGACCTTGGACGGTCCCTATTCATTCCTTGTGCTTCATTTTACTCATCTATAAAACAGACAATTACGCTCACCTTCCTCCTTTGATGAACTCTTAGTAGTGGGTGAGAGTGTCATAAAAGAGAAAGGAGATTTGTCCTATAACTCTGCATCTTAGAGACTTATTCAAGGCATTAGTTTAACAGATCTTTAGTTCTGAAACTAGAGCAGAAGGAGGAGAAATGTGTGATTTCAGTCATATATATATATAGGATCCAGGGGCTATATTCAGCTATATTATAAATGCCTTCCTAAGAACACTTCAACACTTTTCATGCAGTCACTTCCAATTGTGCAAGACAGAAAGCATTTTAAAAGCTTAGCAAATTTATTTTGATCTTTATATTCTGAAAAAGCAGCCATAAAATAATAATCGAAATGTGTGAAGGAAAAATCACTTCACATAGATCCAATACATGCTTTAATTTTATAGAGCATAAGCTTGAAAAAGAAGAATTTTATTTCGTTAGTATTTATTTTTAGATATGACTATTATAGATTGCTAATCATTTAAAGTAAATTATTTGAAAAGGAAAAAAATCAATATTCCTGTTTAATTTAATTAATTAATTTATTTATTTATGAAAGCCATAGAAATGATACCCTTTAGTAACCACTAGGCTATGCTATCAGACAACTCAATAAAACTGTAAATCCACAATCCGCTTGGGTCTGTGGGTTCTGCCCACTGAAGAATACAAAATATTTTGACAAAAAATAAATCTACTTTTATATATATACGTTTAATGCTAGAACATTAGTCTACAAAAAAGTCTTTTACTGCAATCGGTTACATGGTAAAATTGTAATTCAGTTTGAAATATGTTTTCAGATTGTCAGATGAAAGTTGTTACCCAAATCCAACAACAGACTGCCTTCCTTCACTATGAGCTCAATTTGAATCTTTTATGGTTGATAACTCAATACTATGTAGAAAATACAAGTTAGCTAGTTCAAAGATGAGACACATACAAAAAGCTGGAGAGGTTTCTGAAAAGTAAAATCGAATAAAAACTTAACTGGAATAATTTTCCTGACACTACATTAAAGGTGTGCTATTACGATTTTAAAATACAATTCTCAAACATAACAAAATTCCAGAAGTAAGGATACTTGCATCACTTCAATTTGCCCCTTTTCTATTTACATTATGACACCGCGCTTAAATCTGTGACTACATGCTAAAATTAAATAAAATAAAAACCTTCCGGCTACTTCCAGAAATAAGGACAGTAAGCATAAGTTGGTTTCCAGCTCCTCAACTATTTGTTTTCTTTAATGATCTGTTTCATTGCATGCTATGTAAACTCTGCCTTATATACAGAATCAAGCTATCTGCTTTTCTATCTAATTTTGCTTTACCAGAAGGCTGCAGAACCTGAGATCTCAATAATGCCAATGGTCAGAGCATATAAACCATGGGTCAAGTGGCATAGCAGTAACTGCTCCCCTTAGATGGCTTCCCAAGACTCACCTTCACATGTCCATGAGATTAGCAGGGAGGATTATTGTCACGCTCTAAGGGGAGAACTGAAGTAACAAAACTTTAAGGTTTAAGACACTAAGATAATTGAACTTTTAGGGTATCTGACCTAGTGCCATAACTAGCAGTCCAGAGGTGACTGGTGACTGTGAATCAATGACCAGGACATCAATGACCTGGAGAACATTATGATGTAGGGCAGATGGACACTTTCCTTTCCTTTCTTCATCCTCTCCATCCCTTCCAGCTTGTTTCAACCCTGTCTTCTTGCATACTCCTGCCATGTTATCCCATTTTCTTTATCCTGGTATTTGCAGTCCTAAACCTTCTAATTTCAGTCCCAATCTCCTAACACCAGGGGAACTTCCAGTTCTTCTCCCTGTCTGGTTCCTCTCTTCCTCATGTCTCCTAGTTACCAATCACACATCTCCAGCAAAGTTCCACTGTTAAAATCTTGATCAGTCACGTCTAAGCTTTCTAAAACAAAATGAGGGCTGAAAAAAGTACCTCAGAAATTTCAGCCCAACTAATTTTAACTCTACATATTTTACATATTTATAACTAATTATATACATAAATACGATAATATATGCTTTTCCTAAATAGCAAGTTCTTGCTTTATTTATTTATTCATTAAGGTCTATAAATTCTAGCATTCAAAACCAGTCCTCTAAATGACACTAATACTTTTGCATCTCAGGTTAGCTCATCATCTATCTTTACGCATCATCTGAATTGAATTGAATTTCTGACTATTGCAAACTCCATGAAACAAAGATATAACACAACAAACTCCACTGTTGTACAGTTTTATATTGCTTTTGAACATCATTTTATGGCCAAATATGGTTAAAGACAGGCACAGTTGGACAGAATAATAAAACACAGACATGCAGAAAATGGATACTTACCCACAGTGCTTCATGTGTGGTGGCTTATCCATTCTCACTGCCAGTTTAATTTTCAAGTCACTGTCCTGGCTGTTTTTGGGGACTATCATTTTATGCAGATCAGGAGACTTTGAGCTATTGGATGTTGGATATAACACTACCTAGAAGTTGCAAAATAAAAAATTTACTCAACTGATACAGATAAATCTTCTGGTCTTTAATGACACAATCTATTTAGAATCTAATCAGCTAAGATTTTGTTGCATCTCCTCCAGTTTGAGAGCAGGCTGACAAGTTTTCTCTGGTCTAAAAAAGCATTTGACTCAAATATTGTAACACAGAAGTTTTCAAAATGAAATTTTCTTACAAATGCAGACTTTCATATTATGAGTCAATAAATATTCTCCTCTATTACTTTTTTTTCTGAATTAACACTGAGGCACACTCCTAACACCTGAAAATGATCATGTAGAACTAAACAAGAGCCTATAATTTTAGAATGCTTTGTATCCTACTAGAAACTCACTACTGAAACTATGCACCACAGTACAATACAACATAAAGCCCCCGCAGCACCGACATTGTCTGAGTGATTAAAACCAAAATATCTTCTTAATAACTTCATTATTCCATCTATAGTATTGATAAAAACCAATTACAGTGAGTCACAGAAATCAATGATTAATTTCAAAATAACTTTGCTAGAAAATGAAATATAATAAAAGCATGATACTATGCACAGTTCACATGCATAGTAAAACAACCATATTGTTATATTTACAGTGATAGACAGACATATGACAAAAATTACTGAACTTAAAATATTTATTTATAACATATTTCAATAGATACCAGTCAAATTACCCAAATCACTTAAGTAGTAGCAACTATACTAGTTAAACTGTACTTTTTGATTGCTATTAATTTTAAAGTTTTAATTTATCTCCCATCCAAAAAGCCTTTTCATGTGTAGTTCAAACAATTAAGAGCATGACTATTTAATAAAATTCTTCCCACACTAACAAGTTCATCTGTTAAATGCTGCTGAAATATAGTTCCTCTTAATTCTTACTATGGACAATATTCTTGCCACAATTTAGATTGCAAATGATAAATATGCTACTTTGGAAACTTATATTGCATTGAAGAGTTCTAGATTACTGTTTTCACAGACAGTACTTAAAAATAACAAAACACACATGCAAAATACCTCAATATTCTTAATGTTTCTTATTTCCTGTAACCTAAAATTAAGTTAACCAGTAATTAATTCCATATATATAGTATGTATCTTGTGGCCTTATGTATAATACATAACATATTCATTCACCTCTGTGCTATTGGGAAAGTTAAATGAAGGACTTGAAGAAGAATCTCCAAGCAAGCATAAATCAAAAGGATAGTATTTAGCTAAAAATATTGCAATAGTGTCATTCAGATCTAATCAAGCGAAAGATGACATAAGCCGAACATCTTGAGTTTCTCGCCTCCGTGTTTGGCAGAAATATGTGCCAATATCAGGAGGTCTTGAGAAGCAGAGAAATATGATGCATTGCCACTTTTCAAGTGTGCAAGTTTATTAACTCCAGCGCGAGAAATAACCTGTCAGAACTACTGAGTAGCTTAAGTCCCTTTTAAAGAGATAGTAGAAAACATGATACAAACAGGCTTTTCTAAATCATATTTACTTTTGATGTTCCTTTTTAATAAATGCATACCTAACTTATTTATAACCAAGCTTATTCCCTCCACCCCAAGAAACAAGATAATTTTCATTTTGTGTAAAAGCCATCACTTAAAACAGGCTAAATCACTATGAATATAGGAATCTTTCAGTTCTGAAGCATCAAACAGAAAATGACTTTTAATTTATTTATCTTTTTAAATGCAAGATTATATAAACAGAATTATTAGTCATTCTTTGCATTTAATCACTTGATAATTCATAGAGAATTATCAGTAATATTACATTTTTTTTCCCCTTGTTACAAGCTGCAATGGCTGTTTTTCTGAAACCGCTTATTACTTGTCATGAATCTCAAATGACATCTTTCTCCTGTCAACTTTTTGAATTTTTAGAATGTTGATGAAAATATAAACAGACAAGTGCATAATTAATTCATAACTTCACGACAGTTCCTTGTCTGAATTTTTAAAGAAGTATTTTGTAGTTTTGTTTTCAAACCTCTACAACGAATAAGTACCTGGCAGAAGTGCTTATTAAATATGCACTCTTATATTTGCCTTATATTTTGTCATTTCTTCCATCTATGAGCAATGTGAGCTGAAAATATGTAGCTTATGCAAACTGCATTTACAAGAAAATCAAACATTTTTAGCAGTATACACACACTCAGGCACACATAGCATTCTATAGGCATTAATTATTTCTGCAATACCCTTAAATCTAGCAAGTAGGCAGCAGGAATCATCACAAATCATTTTTATCGGGTGGCACAATGTGTACCCTTCACTAAAATCAACAAAGCCCAAACATTGTGTAAACTTGAGAAGGAGAAAAAACTACTGAAATATGCATTAGAAATATTTTTTTACTCATCATAAGACAGTGTTGTGCACTGTCATCCTCACTGTTCATGGAGGAACATCCTAGGCTGTTTTGTCTCATTTCCTTTCAACATTGTTTAATGAATTTTAATCTTCTAGGTGGAATCCTATAATCTACTTTCAAAAATAAAAGGGTGTCTACTTGGGTCTTCTTTGGTGGATAAAAGACTAACTCAGAGGATATTCTTTTACTATTCCTAGTACTTGTAAAAGTATTTCACTGAATTTCTGCTACACTATGAAGCACTGAATGAATTTCTTTCTTTATTTTGTTATTTATTGTTCTTATACTTGTGAGTACCATTATAGCAGATTATTCAGTAGCAAAGTAGTAAACAATAAGCTCTTAGTCTAGGACTGTGTTCGAAACAAGTAATCTTACAGATAATATTCAAGTTATAACATTCTATTCATGATCAGAATAGGACATGAAAAACATAGCTGCTGTGAACTGTATTGACTCAGTTTATTTAAAGTATACGAGTAATCTCGGTATACTGTGATTTCAGATAAATCAGTAAATTCAATCATCTCACAATAAAAAATGATTGTCCAGTTGTATCTAGTATCCCATTGCCTCAGCTCACACTTCAGTTGAAACAGTGGCAAGTTCACTTCTTTATGCCTCTCCTTAAGTAGATGTAAAATAAACAAAAAATCTTAAATATTATAGAACAGTGTATTTTATGCACTTGTGCGAATTCTCAAAACATTTTTAATTACAAATGGCCAATAAATACCTTACAAAATACCCTGAAGAAAAAAGAAAAAAAAAAGAAATCTCTTTGACAATCTTTTCCTTTCTCAAAAAAAGTTGTCCTCAGAAAGCAGATCACCCTCAACAAAGATGGGGGCAAAAAGTGCATGACCATATCCAGGCCCTGCTTCATCCAGCCCAGCCTCATTCTGCTCAGCCTGGCCCCATCTCAACAAGGCTGCTGGGTCTCAGCTCCAGTCCCACCACAGTTCTGTGCTATCATGTGTCTCCAGTCCTCATGGGGACTGTAGACATGGCCCATGGGCCCAGTGCCCATGGGGGCTGCCCCCGCTGCCTTGGGGACTTGTTCCATTAGGGTAGGGGGACCCAGTCCACACAAGAAGCCACCAGCTGAAGTTCAAAGTTAAGCTCAGGAAGGTAACTCTGATCTGTGTCATCCTACATCCTATATTTCCTTGCTGCCTGAACATCTACACACAACTCCATACGTTGTTCAAGTGTCTTCCAGTCCTTTCTTCAAATTACACAGTTCTCAGTAGGAATGTCAGGTGCTTTAGGGGACAGAGGAAGTTCCCATGCTTTATGGGCCGTGTCAATGCACAAAGGGTGCTAAAAACGATTACTTTTTATCACTGATAAAACAGCATATTTTCTTTTTATCTTATTTCTGGCCTAGAATGAAGATTTCCAGCCTGAACAGCTAAGGTCTGGCTAAGTTACAAGCAAATGTATCAGATGGCCTTAATTATAAGCATCATTGCCAGCTCTGCTTAGAATAAAAAATATACTCAGGGTTACGTAAGAAGCACCAGAACGAACTGCAGAAACCAAATTCGTCAACTCGTGTGTTCTAGACAAGGCACTTTTTCTGCCTCAAATTATGAATATTTAAACCTAAGAAAACCAATGAGTGCCCTCCATGTAAGACCAAATGTTGCCACTTATATTTTCTAGGAGCTTTCATCAAGCAACAAGACTAATAATTCATTCTATAGAAGATTTATCCTTTCACGCTTAAAAATGTAGTGATTCAAAAAGATAAATGAGGCCAGTGCAAGTAGAGACGACAGGCAAATTTTATGTTATGAAATAAACATCCATTATTACTTGGCACAACTAACTGGCAAATGGAGCAATACTGACATGCGCTGCTAGTCATTGCCTAAGTGAAGAACACAGGAAAATTTCCTAGTCAAATACATTCTGTTTCACTGATTTTAAAATTACAAATTAAAAGTTACTAAAGCTGATTTGGAGTAGGAAGTAGATGCCTGATGACAATGTAGGAAGCCTTTAATGTTTGAGCAATTCTGGCCACACTTTCAGTTACTTAGGTGACACTGCTTTTTGCTCTTCTATCTATGAACCTTCTTGCATAATTTGGAAGTTTGGAGCTGGTTAGAGTTATGCCAGCTCCTTCTCCAAATGTCCCAGTAGCAGGTTATCATAGCTTTGCATCTGAGTCTGTTGGGCTTGACTCACTGTAGACTCACTGTCCCCACAGCAAATGGAAATAAGGTAAAACAAGAGAGTAAGATTGAAGGGAAAGACTGAAAAAGGAAAAAAAGAAAAAAAAAACTGTCTCGGAGAGCATCCTGGAGAATGCTCACGAAGGAGCACCCAGCCTCCATGGTCTCACCTGCTGAGCAATCTCTTACTTTCCAGCTCTGATTGTATTATAGCTGGAACATTAATACAACATTCTTATAAAAGCTGTTTTAAAATCCCCCAAACTAGCAAAAGACAGCATATAGTGACAGAGCTATCTAAAACACTGTTTTCGAGAAAGAGCTAAGAAGACTTTGTAATTTATGCAATCAATAGGCATCTGCTGATGCTGCCACCTGAACATTTCCTTTAATTGATTTTAGCAGTTGGTAAGTGTTGTCTAAGTGCTTCCCAAACAGCCTCTTTCTCAAATCTAAGAGAGAGCAAGCCTGAGTGAAAAATATGTTAAGAATTTCTAAAGAAAGACATTCTCAGCGGAGATATTGAGAAAACCCCTCTTAGCGTGGAAACAATAACACTAAGCCAGACATAATATGGTGCTGATAGGCAGACCACTCAGGGGATAAGAGAGAGTGAGGAGGAGGAGAGAGAGAGGAAAAAAAAGCAATGCATTATCGTTTCCCGAACTTGAAAAAGATAGAAAAACCCAGACCTGCAAAACCTCAATCATTTCAAAATGTGATGGAGAAACACATTTCCCCTGATGGCAGGCTTTAAATTAACATATTCACAGTACAAAATCGTCTCAAGCTCTCAGAAGCTTGTCGAACACAGCACAGCATATAAACGATATGCCTGGTGCTGTCAGCATTCAGAAACCAGACAGCCATGTAAGTGTGGATACCAAGACAGTAAGCTGTTTTATCACGTCTTTAAATCAAATTCGGAATAAGAGCACCAGTGGGGAAAAAAATAACCAGAAAGCTAATTACTGTTGGCTGCTGATGATTGTGACAAGCAGAGTGGAAGACAATAGTTTTCTTTTAATTGAATAATCAGTGCAAGAAGACTGAGCTATTCCTATATTCAAAAAGTATCACTAATCAAACACCACCTGCTGTTCTCACATTGTATTCACATGTGTTAAACAAGCACAATGGTTGTCACTTTGAATTACTAGGTTTGAACATCTTCATACACAAAGCACTGAACAAGGAAAAGCGGTGTCAGGAAGGAGACAGGATCGCTGCCAGGATGATGAGCACTTCCATCAGAGTGGGAATTTCAGAAACTGCCAGGTTTCAGGTTTTCAGTAATATTCACTCCAAGCTCTGAATGCATCTTCTCATGTGTCCTCACCTGCTGCGCACACAAACACATTTCTACCAGTTTTGCCTTTTGAATTTATGAATGCATATTATCACTGAAGGGGTCTGAGCAGTGTCAGCCTCATAGGAATTGTGACATGCAATGCAAAAATATGTAATTAAACCAAGTCTGAGCGTTTATTTTCTCATTAGAACAAACTTAGCTTCACAGCTGTACTCTGTTTCAATTTCTAGTACTTAAATTCCTTCAGTCATTGTATGCCGGTCTGTACAAAGACAACTTGTTACCCAAGAAGCTCCCATTCTGCAGATCTCTAACCCAAATAATACTCTTTCCCTTCCTAAGCAGCACATTTCTCCACTTTTTTGGGGTGGGAAGGTTTACTTTTCATTTAAAGACCCTCAAAGAGATTTACAAGGAATGGGAAGAACACCCTTGTCAATACGCAGATCTTTTGTCTTTGCATTCACAACTGAACCTTTTATGTATTTATTTATTTATTTATTTACTTATGAGAGCAATGTCAGAGAACTAACACAATAAGAACTATCTCCTGTCACAAGGACAACCTGAATGTCTTGAAAGCAGAAGGTGCTAAATGCAGATAAGGTCTGGAGTTGGAAATACGAAAGTCCTGGAGTTGGAAAGGAGAAAAATCAAGGGAAAAAATATGTCTGTTGACAAAACAAAATATCTGAGACCACAGAATACAGTTAAGTTGAAAGTCAAGTTTAATATTTTACACCAAAATATTTCAATTCTTTAAAAATTCTGTAAAGCCTTTCTCACCTTCTGTCCTAGATGCTCACATATGCTGCAGTGTAATAAAGCAGTCCAAAGCCTTCCCAAAGCCTTCACCTAAACTTCGCTAGTTTTGTGCTACAGAGCAATAGGATTGTGTTAATATATGTGATTCTTAAACTCTCTGGATTTTAATAGCACCATGCTATTAAGACAACTTTTTCCAGGATCATTCCTCCATCTTTTTTCATTGTTCTGAATGCAGATATTACTGAAGGCAGGCTACTCATCTCTGTGACAGAGGTGTCCCTATAGCTCCTTGGCTACATCTTCCATGGCCTTCCCTGTCCAACTCCCTCCTTATTCCTGTGAGCTTTTCCCCATGCAGATACCAGCTCTGCCTTGGCAACACAACCAAGTGACCTTTGAGGTTTCTCAGAAGAACATGAGCAGCAAGAAAATGCATAGTGTCAGTAAATCCTGACATTAAATGAAGTGACCTAATATGTAGAAGAATCTTTGCATATCTACTGGCAGCTGGAGGACACAAAGTGGGGAAGAGCCCGCTTTTATTAATAAGCTGTCCACACCTGAATGAGAAATAACTATGAATAGAGAATTGAATTCTAAAATCTGAGCTATGCCCCATACTTAACACTTTGAAAGGAAGAATTTTAGAACATTCATTCAGTAGAAGAGTAAGAAGTCTTACTCTTGGAACTTGGTCTGCAAACTCTTTCCATCACTCCTCGTGTCTCTTCACTCTTGCACCAGTCTTGTCCTTCCTTCCATTCCTCCTATTCCTCACTATATTTATTATCCTCCAGGTCTCACTCCCTCCCACCTCACTCCTACTTTAAACATCAAAAAGTAGCAGAAGTTCATCTAGCAATTAAAAGAAGTTTTAAAACAAGGCAAGCATCATGAATCTGTGATACACATTTCTGAAAGGTAATATCAGTCAGCACATCAAGTTTCAAACATTGAGAATAATTACTTCTAAAAGAAAAAAACAATGTTTTATACAGCTGCAGTAGAGCTAGTGCTGTAGTGAATGCCTTATCCCATTTCACAGCATGTTATATCAATACTGACATTTTCTACACATAATACTCACTCTTCCTAGTTCTTTATCTTCAAGTGCCAAAACCCCAGTGCTTTCTGTAAAGAGTTTTACTTTGACGACAGGACGAGGGTGAGTAGTAGTGAAATCTCCTTGAGTTCCCCATCTGCAGTAAACAAAATAAGAAAATTTAATAAGGGTAGAGGGAAAATTTCACACAGACAGGACCGTAATCTTTTGCATAGTATACAAATTATTTCACTCTTAGGAAGGACATAACTCCAAATTATTTTTTGGCTGGGGAGGGAAGGGTGCAGGGTAAAGAAGTGAAAAAAGGTACATTTTTGATCATCAAAACTAAACATCTATATGGGAAAAATAGTTTTATTTATGATAAAACAAATCAGGTTATTAGTATGACTTTTATAATCAAAAATTGTCCATACACTTTCAAAGGGATGAAATTATATCCTCATGGGGGAAAATGGAACCAAACAAGAAAGCAAAATAAATAAATAAATATATAAATAAATAAGCAAAAAACCTTTACATGTTATCACTATGATACATATTTAAATGTAGCTTATTATTATGCATGTCATTATTAGTCAATTACTGAAGCAGAAGTCAGAAAATATAGCATAAAATGAAACTCCCAGCTCTAGACTAGCCCATAAGACCACTGTTGCTATCAACAGTTCACAATTTGTATTATTGTTTTGTCAGTTCAGAATGAAACATAGTAAAAATAATGGCTTTACTCTCTAGGTGGGCTATATTCTGAACTGTCAGTGCCCACTAGTAGACTTTTGCCTTAGGAAAAGCAAAACGCCACACTGAAAGGATTGTACCATGAATATACAGGATACCAGGTATTCAACATCTACTGAGTGGTTCAAAATAAGGGATGGATTGAGTAGAGCATTCATTCCTCCATCAGCTATCCAATTTTGTAACAAACTTAACTGTTCTGAAATCAAATAATATTGGTGCTGAAGATCTGGCAGCTTTCAACTATTACACAGCTTTCAACTATTACACAAACACCTATAAGTAAAATTTACATTTAAAAGAATTAACCTTTCAATTTTAGGAATTTTAGGAATACTAAATGCAAATCACTAATAAAGCTACAAAGTAACTGAATTATCATGACAACCCTATCTCACGATTTGCATTTTGTTTGTTGAAATTTATTTTTTCCTGTTTGCAAAAATTTAAATGTAAAAAAAAAATAATTGCCTAGATGTCTCATTCACAAAAAATAAGTTTATGACAATTTATGTTATGGTTGTTAAATGCAATAAAGCAGATATAACTGTTAAATTATTATTACTGAGATGAACAATGGACTTGGGAGATACTGGATATAGTTAGTTCACACACAATGCAAATCCTGATCATCATTACTGAAATTTCTTTTTCCAGCTTATATATCTTATGTTCTGATGTAATTACATACACCTGCTTTCTCAAAATTTAACATTTTTCTTCCAAAGTACATTTGTATTCTGTCAAATATATGTATTGATAACTATTAAAATGTTAAGATTTCCTGCTCTAATTTTCACTTCGCCTCCCTGGAGTAGAAACACCAGAATATTTTCTTTAAAAGTTAAACTACTAGGCATATTTGTTTTTATATCTACTTATTTTAGGATAGAGGTCACACTCTGGCATTTTCACTGGAGACAATACTGTTTTCCCCAGAAATGTCTTTCTGATCCACACATTTTAAAGTCAATCACCATATGAGGGATGTAGTATTAGTCATATGATTGCATAACTTTTTAACAGCTTAACTGAAGACCTTATTGTTTCCAAATAAGAAAAAAAAAATGAAAACTTTTTTTTGTTAGAAACAAACAAGCCTAACTCTATCTTTTTTTTTTTTTTTTCTCCTTCTCCTTTTGAGGTTTGCCTATCATTGAAACTTTTCCTGGATGTCTAACCCCTCAGGCATATATGGAGGCAGGGACACACAAAAATTAAGCTGCTCACAGCAGGAGGGAGCAAACCAGTTCCTACTCTTTCCTCACTCCTTATTGCCAGGAAAGGCCATTCAAGCCCACAGTTCAACTTAGTGATGGATAAATAAAGGATCCCCTGTGGCAGAACAGCCAAGTTTCTAAAAATCCTGCAAAATGTTCAAACATGAACCAGTATCTTTTTCATCATGTCATGGCATGCCCTCAAATGGCAAGAATACCTTTGTCATTGTCTTGTTTTCTACATCCCTTGGGAGTGAAAAGTAGTATTTCTTATGCGGCACTTAAAATAGTACAGTTGCACATTCTTTCATCAGCAAAAATACAATTTCCCTCACAAAAAAACCCACATTTCTAGAGGGATAATGAAGTGTACCGCTGAAGAAGCTTAGTGACTTTATTAAATATGATTAAGTCATTAATCCATGATCTTTTCTTCAAAAACTGGAATTGAATTATGAGACAGAGTAGCAGTAGAAAGGAGGAAGGATGAGGGGAAGAAAGGAGAAAGAGGAAAAGGAGGAAACAGTATAAATCTCAAAAAAAAAGCACAAATGAAAAATGCCTCTCCCCTCAAAAATTTGCAACACATGCAAAACCAGTAAGTTTTCATCATTATCTTTAATATTTGAAATCCTTCTGTTATTTATCGGAAAAGTCTAACAATTACAATCTTCCACATGATTTTATTATAAACTGTCTCTTTTCCTAAAAAAAACTAAAAATAAACAAAATTCCCACCCTGTCAGCAACAAAACACAGATTCATTTAATATGAAAACTTTTAGTTATGTTAAAGACTAAGTTACCAGAATGCTTAATAAACTTTGACATTTTATCTTTATCTGAAAAATACACATAGTTCTTTAAACATAAACATACCAACATCTATCCTGAAACTCTCTTTCTACATTTATCTTTAAGAAATCAAAGTGAACTGATTTCACAGTTAGCACAAAGAACCTTTGAAGACGAAAATGCTACATCCTATTACAGTGGCAAATTTCATATGCATGCAGCTTTGGGGTGTTAGTAACAACAAAGAAAAAGCTATTAGATTGTTCTTTCCAAATTCTGAAAATGCATCTACCTTCTTTGAAAAGATATATAAAAAGATATTTCTTTGAAAAGACATATCTTTGAAAAGACATATGGACAAACAAAAGGCTATAAAGGACCTTTAAACAGAAATACTGGAAGGAAAAAAATAAAAAGAAATAAAATGGAGAGCTAACCATAGTTTCAATCATTCAGGCTGGGGAGATGATAATATGTGTCTATATTGGGGTTACGGGGGGAAAAACAGCTATCTACTTTAAAGATTATTCTACCACCACCTCTCCTTTTTTTCTTTTTCTATTAGGCTTTCCCAATAGAAATGATTCCTTGGCAAAGTCAGTAATCTTCTATCTGGCCCTCTCTGGTCAGTTTAGTCCTGCAACTACAGAAAAGGGCTGCTGAACTTTATTCCCATCTAGCTACTATTCTGTATCATTGAACAAAAAATTATGACAACCTACTTCACTAGCACTCAGTTTAAACACTGATGGAAAATTGCTTTGCATACTATTTTTTGAGTGTGAGGAAATAGTTTCCCCCTCATTTCTGAACTAGTTAGAATTTGTTGTGTTTTTACTATTCTCATCAACATGCAGAGCACCAAAGCAAGCAGGGCTTGCTGCAACTGTTGGAAGGTATTCAGATGCTTTGTTTTGTGCACTGGGGAGGATGAAGAATCATAGAATTACTATGGTTGGAAAAGATCTTCAAGATCATTGAGTCCAACTGCAAGCCTATGCCTGCTAAATCATGTCCTTAAGTGCCTCATCAATATGTTTCTTGAACACTGCCAGGGATGGTGTCTCTGCCACTTCCTAAGGCAGCCTGTTACGATGCTTGACTACTCTTTCTGTGTAGGAATTTTTCCAGATATTTAACCAGAAACTCCCCTGGTGCAACTTGAGGCCTTGTCCTATGTTTGGTAGGTATTTTGGAGAAGAGATTGACCAGCACCTCACTACAACCTCTGTGAAGAGATGTGGTTTTCTGATAGATTGGAACTGGAAGCAAAGCAAAAATTGGCTTCCCCCCCCCCCTTACAAAAACGGGTAAGGTTTGGAATCCCTTCTTCCATTGCACTACATTGTAATAGAAATGCAAGATTTTACTTCAAGTCATATGAAGCAGTTTTTATAAATAAGGAAAACAATCTCTAAACCAATTTCTAAGGGAATGAATTCAAAAATCCTTGGTAAAATTGGAAATTGGTAACATTATTTAATGACCTAGGAATAATATTTCTCCTACACTGCTAGCATGTAAGATCTTTGAAGGCCCATGAGGCAGTATACAAATAACTTGCACAATAAAGTTCAAAAACCCTATGATGGGACCTTGCAAGCACCAGCACAAATTCAGTTTGTCTTTCTCTGTAATACAGTGAACTCCTGAGCTTTAATGCAGACATAATTTATCAAGTCATGAAGCTAAGAAAACAATCAAGACAGATTAGTAATACTTTTCTACTCAGTTTTGTAGTATTTGACTTTTGCTGGCTTCACTTTTTTGGGGGGTTGGTCACTAATGGCTCAGTAAATGCTTCAGTATAGCTGGACTAGAGTGAACATGTGAAAACAGAAGCCAATGCATCTATGAGGAGGGCAAACATGGATCACCACCATAACTGACTTTGTGACAATAAATATGGCAACAACATCTCACTTGATTTTATGTGAAAATAGAAAAGAAGAAAATTGAAAGCACTATTTTGATCCAGTTTAGGTCAAATTATGTTGCAGATAATTTATTTTGAGTTTGCTCTGTTATGGAGATATAGAATTATGGAAAAAAGAGTGAGGAGGAAAACTGGGTAGAATATCAGATTCATTTTTTGAAGTGCCATTTACAGTGAGTAGTACATCTTCAATAATTGATAAATGTAAACATCAGTGCTGCTTTATAGTTGTACCAACACAAGTCTGGACTACCAAATATATGTAAGCAATTGAACCAGCTACTCAGCCAGGTCTTGACACAGTGGCAGGGCAGATGTAAGCTGAAAAATCATTACCTATCTGTCAAAAAACATCCCTCAGGTGGTTTACAATACAGGAATACTAACAGTTTCTAATGCAAACTATGATTTTCAAAGCAATAGACATATAAATAATGCTTTAAAA